AAAAAAAAAAAAAAAGTAAAATATCCTAAGCCCTAAATTGATTCTATTCCTTGAACTCCTGACAGCCCCATCTTTGTAAAATGTACAAAATTTGATATGTGTGGGGGGAAGAAACAAAACAAAATACGAACTGCTTATATTTTTCCCAATCTACATAAGCATCTTTTGTATAAAATCACCACATTCAAAGCTGGGTCACCATAGAACATTCACTGGCTTTGTGGAAAACATGGCAGCAGAGGCCTTACACAACGCAAATCCTCCCTAGAGACCCGGGGTCATGGCAAAGGGTGTCACATACTGAAAATACTACTAGTTATGGCAGACTTTCTGTGGACCCTCTCCCCCAAATTTTTATATTTTACTAGGATATAACTCCTTAGACTTCTTATGGTTCAGTAATGACAGTAATGTTCTTAATCTTAGTAATGACTATCAACTAAAGAAGCAAAACAAACAAAATGACCTTTTTACTCTAATAAAATTTTGCCAGCAATGGATATTGCTAGATTACAAACTTCAGATACAAGGAAGTAAATGCACAGAACACCAAGGGGAAGAAGTCCAGCCTCTGCATGTCTGGGATTTAAGAGTTCAGCAGGCAAGCTCTACTTGTTTTTCTTCTTCCTTTTGTAGAAGTTCAAACCAGCTGACTCATACTTACTTAGTCAAGTCTCAAATCAGACACTTGAGAGAAGTGACAAGAAAAGTTTTCCATTAAGTGCCCTTTAATTTTTTCCTTTAATCTGGCAATATAGTATACTAACCATAAAAATGTGACAAAGAAAGTTCTACTACTGTTCAATAAAAGACAAGAGACTAAAGATGGACAGAGTTGAGTGAGGAAAAAACTATCACCAACCTATATGATACTCTTGTTGCTAAATAAATCTGAATCAGACACCAAAAAAGGTTCAAAATAAAAACATTAGAAACCATTTTTAAAATCAACACTCACCAAGACACTTTTAGGGGGTTTATTTGGAAATATAAATGATACTCTCACTTACCAATGGTGGGGTCATGGTCTTCTGGGAATCGGTGGCTAATGAACTGCATTGTCATGGCTTCAAGACAAGAAATGAAAGTTAAAATCCACACAGAAGTGACCCACAGAAAGAATGTTAACTAACATGACAGCCTGTATCTCATCTGCTTTAGGTACAGGTCATTTAAGTACTTTTCATCTTCTTGTCAAATGGAAGGAAAAATGTCACCTACCACTTTTCCCTACACCACCGGCGCCCAACATCACTAGTTTGTACTCTCGTGAGAGCCCTGCGGGGCTGCTACAACTGCTGCCAACTGGGCGAGTTCCAGAATCCATTGTCCTCTTAGGGATTCCTGAGCTGTCCTGGGGAAAAGCCACTTAGAAAGAAAGGAGAAAATATTTTATCTAGGATTGGAAGACATCGTGCCGACAGTTCACAAGCCAGAGTGCCCTTGGCTTCCCACACTCTGGCCTATCACTCTTTGCTTCCCTTTCTGGAGCCCCTAAGAAACCAGATCTCCCTGCAGTACACTTCAGTCCTATCACGTATTTCAGGCTTTCCGTATCACTACCTTTCCGTATCACTACTTTTCCCAGAAAGACAGATAGATAAAGAAATTCAGATTTTTTTCAGACTGGCGCACCGCACAGTGAGGAGAAGCCAGGTGAGAAAAGGTTTGAGGACCAAAAGGCGTACTGCCCCTTATGCCGCAGAAGAGTCCTTTCCAGCCCGCACTCCCTCATGGTTTCGCCCTCTCCCTCTTCCCGCAGCACCACAACTTCGCCCCCATCATTCCCCCATCCCTCTGCTTACCTATCCGATCCCCCGCTGCTCGTACTGGTCCGGACAGGAAGGCCACAGCCCAGTCCAATCACCCACTTCTTTCTCCGCTCGCGCTGAAGCGCCGACACTGACCTGTGACCCCTCCCGTGGCCCGGTAAGATGGCGCCACTGGCGGGAGGGGCGGGGACTCCCTTGACGTCCGGGTCCGGCACCGCCCCCTCCGGGGCGGTACATGTCTCCGAAGGCCTCAAACCTAGGTCAGCGACTCACCGCTAAAGTCCTGGTGGTAGCGTGCCAAGTTGTTGTGGGGCTTGGAGGTGTCAAATGTTAAGAATTATTTTCACAAATCAAGAGAAAAAGGAAGAAGGAATACACATTAACAACTCACTCACGGCTGTCTACTGCTTGTGAAAAAAAACTAATCTGGCCAAATGTTAAAAGAAGTGGGCAGTAACAAAAGGGCATCCTGAGGGAGTGAATAAGTTGGACCTGTGGGCTCAGGACCATGGTCACAAGGGACGTCAAGCTCAACTGGCATCTTAAAAGCTTGCAAGCAGCCATCTAGATGCAATGATGGGTCTCTCCTGATCCAGACCAAAAAATGAAAACCAGAAGCATGGAAATAATTAGCCCCAGGGACTAGTGGACCATGTAATCCTCAGCTTATATGACCACGAAACCAAAAGAACTATATGGTGCCTGGCTACCACTGTCAACCACTTGGAGATCAGTGCAGAAGATCCTGGATAGAGCAGAACAATGTGACCAAAACTCAAAATCATAAAGAGAATTAAAAAAAAGGTTTGCTGGTCTGATAGAGCCTCGTGAGACCCCTGAGAATACGGCCCCTAGTTACCTACCCTTCAGGTCTATAATTGAACTCACGCTCGTGGCTTCCAGCCAAATAGACAGGGATATAGGGTGAACATTTACATCAGGTACATACACTCCTTGGAGTGATTAATCATGGGAGAACAGAAGGGCAGTGTTTGCACAGGGAGACAGCTGGGAGTACATGGGAGGGAAGGACACAATGAAGAGGTAACTACAGAAGGAAGTGGGAAGAGAGCTGTTACATTGTGGGGAATTGCAGTCAATGTTATGAAACAAACTGTGTATAAACTGCTGTACGGAAAATGAATTTGCTCTGTAAATGTTCACCCAAATTAAACATTAAAAAAAAGAAATGGGCACCAGATCTTCCCAAATAAGAGGAGTAAGATCAAATGCCTGTTTTACAGCAAAGAAAATTTCCCCAAAGGGAAAGCTGCAATGACTTGGTCTCTTGAAAGCAGTATTAGGTCTCAAACATCAGATGTTGCCAATCCTCTAGTTATCCTAATAAGGGCTCTGCATGCATTTTAAACATACATATACGAAAGGTATACAAAAATTTGGAGTATTTCTTGTTTTAAATGATACAACCCTTTAACAGGAAAGGGTAAAATTTACAAATTTTCAAGTGGCCTTGAATAAAATATAGTAATAGTTGAACACACTACCATCTTATTCATCTGTAGAGTTAGCATACATAGGTACTGGAAGGACTGTACACTCTGGGAAATTTTCCTGACTTAAATTCCATGTTTTCTTTTTTAAGAATGTCTTTCCAAAATAATTTGCATTCCCCTTAAGATTGGTTTCATTCACTAGGTCCCTATTTTGGGTACTTTGTGCTGCTCTAACAGAAAGATACCATAAACAGGGACTTTTAACAAATAGGAGTTTTAGTTTCTTACAGTTTTGGGGGCTAAAAAATCTGAGTGCCAGGCTCTAGGGGCTGGGTCAAAGTCCCTCGACCTTGGGCTTCAGCTCTGGCTCTTGCTCCCAGCCCACTGAAACTGGAGGCTTTCTTCACTTAGTCAGCTGCTGGCTGCTGTGGCTGACAAACCCCAAGGTCGACAAGTAAAAAGACACAGTCCAGTATTACCAAAGCACACAACAGGCCATTGATTCAAGTCCTTAAGAGTCCCAAAGAGCTCTGGTAGCGTAGTACCTAAAGCACTTGACTGCTAACCAGAAGGCTGGCAGTTCAAACCCACCAGCCACTCCTCGGAAGGAAGGTTGGGCAATCTACTTCCGTAGCAATACTGCCTCGGAAACCCAAGGAGGGGTTGCTATGAGTTGGGTCTGACTTGATGGCACATAACAAGAGTCCCAAGAGTGGCAGACAACATAGCAGGCTGCTAAATGAAAACTCAGCCACACACAGGGTCCAAGCACATGCCAAAAATCTTGAGACCTTCTACAAAGCTGCTTCTTGTATACTGGAAGCAAATCACATCCCTAAGGCAGCTCAGCTGCTCCAGTAGATGCCATCATGAGTTGATGACCAATCTCTCCAGGGGGGAATAACTACATCCAGCTGCCCACACACTCAAAACCAGGCCCAGTCAAGTTGACATACTATTTTTAACTACCATAGTCCCTTTAAACCCAACTAAAAAAACCCACAAAAAACCAGTTACTGTTGAGTCAGTAACAAGTTGATTCTGTCTCATGGTGCTTCCATATGTCAGAGTACAAATGTGCTCCACAGGGTTTTTAAACAGCTGATTTTCTGGACAATAAGTTGCTAGGCTTATCTTCCAAGGTGTCTTTGGGTAGACTCAAATCTCCAAATTTTCCAAATATAAAAAAGAAGGGCCTGGAGATTTACTTCCAAAAGTCAGTCAATGAACACTCTATGGATCACAATGGTCTGACCCACATTCAATCTTGGGGATTGTACAAGACAGGGCAGTGTTTCGTTCCATCGTGTGTGATGTCACTAGAAGTATGGGTAAATTGGATGGTTGCTAATAACAAAATTTGAAAATGGAAAATATCTAGCATAATGACCTTTAAAGTTTCCACCTGGACTTTAAGGATGTGCTTTGGATAGTCATAAAACCCTTGAAATCATATGCAAACTTTCGGGTATTTTTTTCCAGTGAGGAGACTGTAATTTCGTCATTCCATAAGCCCAGAAGTTTATGCATTTTAGTATATGACTGGAATATGGAAGAAAAAGAACACAGGAACCAAGCACAGTATTTGTACATTTATTTATAATGAAATTATGGTCTAAATATTTACAACATATAGGAAACCAGAGGACATGTTTATACAAAGCCAGCCTGCAAAGTATTCAAATGTGCAAAAATGACAGTTCAGTATCTCAAACTACTTCTGGTTCAGCAGACTAGCTCCTTCACTTTCACACATCAATATTTGATACAAAAAAGTTGTTTTGGCAAAACCTGTAATGCCAAGAAAAAGGACAAGTTGCAATTTCAGTCACTAAGTCCACCATCCTACTGCGAGCAGTCAAATCTCTCTATTTTACCTTCAGCCAGTTCTGAGAGAGAGAGACACCACTGTGTTTCATTTCTGTAATGAGTTCCGACCAGCTTTTGGTCAAGTAGTTTTCTCTGACTCAGCTGAAGACAAGGAGCTTATGAGGGCAATTGGAAAAAAAAAAAAAAACCAATGGCTGAGACAACTGTGCATGAAGGCCAGCTTTGGATCATCCCCAAAAAAAGATGTAACAACAACAAAAAAATTCATTTTCTTGCCCAGAATCCAGCTATATCCAACAGTTTTAATTTAGTAAAATGGCATTTTCCAAAGAAAAAGAATCCAAAGGTGAAATATGAATGAGAATCACTTAGAATTAAGTGCTGAAAGTAAAGGATGGTCCTAAAATCACTTCCCCACTAATAAATAGTAAGGCTTTGTATGTAACCAGTTGTTATCAAAATTGACTCAACAGTAGTAAAATACAAATAAAACTTTCTTCACATCAGAGTAGGGGCTATTCGTTTGGAAAAGCCTGGGCCCAGTCAGGTGTATAAGGGAATGACCCAGTTGGGATGCTTTGTTGAACACGCACATTTCATCCACTGTTAAAAAAAGCTTCAGAGACAAGTTTGTGATTCTAAGTAAATTTTAACAGATGCTATGCCACTGTAGAAATAAGGATGTTTTAAAAACAATGGAGCCCCTTTAGGAAGGGGACACTGCATCTCTAACTTCTGCAAAGGTCCAAGATGGTTCTCAGTACAGGCCCCAGAGTCTTGTCAAATCAAATACATGCATTATTGCTAAAGAAGAGTCACTGAGGGTCAAAATTCTGGTCCACTGTTTCCTATGGGGCCATCCAGAATGGCATCTGTTGTTTAGCGCGTGGCTGTGATGAAGGGTACTGATAGCCTAAACTCCAGCCCTGTGGGAAATTACTTGCATTTTTATGACCTCCATGTTCCTCCTCTTCATCAGATGAATCTGCAGCGTAAGCTACCAAGCCAAACCCCTTTTCTGTAGTCTTCATCTTCTTGGCTGGATAATCTAGAATAGAGAAAAACACCCCAACCCCATACCCCATGGGGGGAAAAAAAAAAAAAGATAATACCATAAAATCGTTAATAATAAAAAAAAAAGATGTTAATTGTAAGTGGTTAGTTGGACACCATTTTGAGGTCACAGGGTCAACGGTCACCCAAAAACGTTGATGATCACACGAAAAACAGCACCAGCATCAGCAAATGTGAATCCACCAGAACCATGTAAGAAAACAGAGAAAGAAAAAAGAAAACACAAAAAAAAAAAAAAAAAAAAAAAAAAAAGAAGAAAGAAAGAAAAAAGGAAAGTTAGCAAGTGAGTCTCTTGGGGGCTGATATTTCACCTTTTAAAGAGTTAAAAGAAAGAAGAAAAGAAAAAAATGTATTTTCTTCTGTTCATTTTTATTATGACTATAAGCAATGAACAAAAATAATCACATCCTCCTATACAGGATTTTGAGCTCTCAGATACTAAGAGACAACATTTTTCATAATAGACTGACCATTATCAACCATTAGAACTATGAGACGAGATGTGGCTCAGCTCCCAATACAAGGAGAAAACAACCTGTAGTAAGTCTGTTTCAGGTATCTCCAGGTATTCAGACAACATAAACAACAAAATTTTGAAATGACCTACCAATCACTAGTATTTCTTAGGGTTTTAATGTCACTGATGCTATGTATAAAATACAAGTTGCCTGACCCTTTTCTAGACACAGTCGGTTGAAAATAAAAGGCTGTGTAACTATATGCCATCTGTATTAAAAAAAAAAAAGTGTTCTTATTAGCCAAGAGATTATAGAGGTAAGATTAAACACCTGAATGTATATCAGGTTAGAAAACTAATAGTTTAAGATTAGTCTTGCTCAGTCACTCCCTGTTCCCCCAGCTATACCTTACTCACCATGGCTCCCTGTTAAGGTCCCAGACCCATTCCTTTCATCAGACTCAGTTTTTATACCAGTCACTGGAAAGGCTGGTGGAGGCATCAACTGCCTGTTAAAAAACAAAAGCAAATTTTTTCTCACACAAATTCAATTTTTAACTTATCAAATAGATAAGAACTTAATCATTAATTTGAACCCTTTCCACCTGATCCTTCAAGCTCCTATCAAATTTGTAAGATTGTATATAGCCAGGCCATGCCAAAAATGAAATGAGCCAAGGGAAGAATTAGTTCCCAGGTATATATAATAATATAAGAAAGGAGAACTCAAGCACTAGATGGGAGGCTGGACTCCCATTTAAGTACCTCCCATGACAGTCTATGATCCTGTTATGTGTTATGTGCCGTCGAGTCGGCCCCGACTCATAGCGACCCCTCCTTGGGTTTCCGAGGCAGTATCATTACGGAAGTAGATTGCCCCATCTTCCTTCCAAGGAGTGGCTAGTGGGTTTGAACCACCAGCCTTCTGGTTAGCAGTCAAGTGACTTAGGCACTATGCTATCAGAGCTCCTATGAGCCTACATAGCAAAAAATGGCTCATTTGTTTAACATTGCTGTTATTGCCCTCCCTAGGAAAATGACCAAGCTGTAGTGAATGAAAGACAGACATATGAATAATCAAGTATTAAATTATTTAAAGTTGAGTGTAACTGCTTCTAAGACTGTGAAAAGCATCTTATTGTTTTCCTCTACTGCATCAATTACAACAAACCAGAGTGCATTACACTGAATGATTTCAGTAAGACTAAAGCCTGCAGCAATCATCATTACTATCACTAACGGTTCAGATGACACCCGAATGTATTCATTTAATTATGTACCAACAAACTTACCTGTCCCTCTCTCGCTCTTTGCCTGAGGAACTTGCTGGCTTCGATCCTGCCCCTTCAATCTCACTCTGACTGGAGAAGCCTGTACCTAAATTAGTCATATGAATGGGTCCATGCTATGAGCAGAAAAATACAGTGGCATTAGCAAATCTACAACTGATGTTTTGGCTTTAGCTCCTTAATGTAACTGTCAAGCGCCTCATCTTTCTTATAAATTGCAATAAATTAAACCAAACTACATAGCTCTTTGGGATTTGGAGTATCACTGTGGTCAAAGCAGGGATTTTCTCTTGGTCAGGGATGCCGTGATTCACTTTGTTGTTTGTTTTCAACTGATTATCCATAATTCAACTGGCTTGTATAAACCTAGTTATAAACTATAAAATGCCTCGCAGTCTGTTTCAAAGAATGCTTTAGAGATTCTGGCAAAAAGCAATGGTGCTTCTTCTCTAACACGAAACAAAATTGCACCAAACTCTGTATTTCAATAACAATTAAATGTGTGTACACAGTCAATCTCTGGCAGTCTTTTATTGGAGAGAGACAGAAGACTGGAAGAGATGAGGATAGAAACCATCCTCTTTTTTAGAGTGCACAATAACTAATTGAAAGCCAAGATTTTAAATATAAACCACATATTGTTAGAATGCTGCTTTTGATGAAATCTTTGGGAAAAAACAACTATCACAGGCTTTCAAAAGTCTGTTATATGAATGTCCCTGAGTGGTGCAAAATTAATGCACTCAGCTGCTAACAACCAGAAGGTTGCAGGTTCAAGTCCACCCAGACATGCCTCAGAAGAAAGTCCTGGCAAACTACTTCTGAAAAACCAGCCACTGAAAACTCCGGAGCATAGTTGGACTCTGACACATACAGGGTTGCCATGAGCCAGAATCTACTGAAGGCAGCTGGTAAACTAGTTGTATAAAAAGGAGGAAGTACAGAATTCTACAGCAGTCCTTCCAGTGGGGAGCTTTGTATTCTTATCACAGTGATCTAATTAAACCTAAGAAAAAATCCACCCAAAGGGGAACACTTATGCTTTAAATTAATCCCCAAGTTTGAGAAAAACCTAACCTAAATGGACTCCAGAAAGCAGAAATCGTTAGTATTGTACTGAGAGGACTACTGACACAGATGTGAATTTATCTCTTTTGGAGGGAGCATATAGGAAGATTAGATGAGGAAAGCAAAACAAATTATTTAACCTGGTATCCAAGAAGTCCAGACTCTCGTTCATCTGGTAGCTCTTCTGTGAATCGCCTCTTCTGTGCCTGAGGCTGAGTTGGGAGTGGGGGCTGGGGCTGGGGCGGGGGTTGGGGACCAGCAGGTAAGGCAGTTTTGACAGGAGCAGCAGGAATAAAAGGACCACTCATCGGACTCTGGGACCAAAACAAACCAAGGGAGAAAAAAAGTGTAAGAATGACCAACAAATAAGTAAACAATGGTTACAACATATGTCTAGGCAGAGGGGAGTATGATCAGTATGTGTCATATGAATCTTCTTTCATCTTCTGGCCTTGAGTTTTCTTCACACCTTGCCACCTTCATTCTAAGAGAAATGACACTGACAATCTATACATAGTACTATTTTGAATACTCAGGAAAAACCTGTAGTATCAGTTGGAGTATTAAGGGCAAACATGTCCATTAACAAATAATAAAAACTCCACCTTCATAATTAGTTCAGGAGACAGCAATAATATCCACTTATTTAGTAAGTCCTTTCATCAATGTGAATAGCTCTTTCTGTATAATTGTCGCTAAGCTTGTGGCAAAGGCAATCGTCTGTCACTTCCACGGTTACTAGCAAGTTGCTGTGTCAAGAGCAAATTTATATATAATGTTTTAAGAAGTTATTCCAAAAAAGAACATGGGATAATCAAAAGACAATATATATTAGAGAAAAATAAGGACTTCTAAAAGCAAAAATATACTTAATAATAACAAATACCTAACATTTATTGACAGCTTGCTTCATCTCCTGTAATTCTCACAACCCTCTCAGATAATATAATGGTGTCCATTTTGTAAATAAGGAAAATCAAAGTCCGGATAGGTTAAATTATACGTCAAGATCACAATGCTCAAAAATAAGAAAGTGTGATGAACACTGGCAGTCGTAGACTCCAGTTTTTAACCACACTTTGTATTGTTATATTGCTTCCTAATTACAAAGCTATGTGGCTCAAAACTAGGCAACTATAGTTCTGCTTACATATAAAATGTAACATAATTATGATTAGAGACCACATGCAGAATTTTCATAAACCCCCTTTTTGTCTTACAGTGTGCAGCCTCCATCAGTGCTACAGCACATGGGCAAACAGTCTGGGCAATGGTATGAGGCTGCAGTTTACTGTGGCATGGGTACACTATGAAAGGCCCACTGAGAAGGGCCTGCCATAAATCCATTACCATGCTCTCATTAGTTTCCTCCCATCCAGATGAGTTATCTATCTACTCGCTTCCTAAAATTCTAGTTCCTTACATAACTTAAGAAATATACAGCAGCATTTGTAATACTTAAGTCTGGAAAGTTAGGAACAACTATACATGGTAAACATTTCTTTCTAAATGAAAACTGCTAAGTTCCATTCACTCAGAGGTGTGGGGCAGACTGGTTCCCTCCTCCTTTCTTAACACCACAAAGCTAGATGCAGGCAATCTATGGCCCATTACTGATTCTGGCCTGCCACCTGCTTTCACAAATAAAGTTTTATTAGAGCACTGCCATGTGCATTCATTTAAGTATTGTCTACAGCTACTTTCTCACACCACAGCGACAAAGTGGAGTAATTATAAAAGAAACCATATGGTCCACAAAGCCTACATGGCCCTTTATACAGTTTGCCAATAGCTGTTGCTCTAAACAACTGTCTGGTGGCAAGATCTATGAAACTAACTGCAAACTTTAGGATGATATACACACACATACACACTGTTCCAAAGTATTCAGGTAATTTAGTGGTGGGACTATAGGAATAAGACAGGAACAAAATAAATCTCATGTTACATGATTTCTAAATAATAAATACCACCATCTTTACCTCCCCCTCTTCCCTGCATAAGTTTTTCCTAATTCAATGGTCATGTTGCATATTCTGCCATCCTACCTGTCCAGTGCTAGCTGCAGGCTGCACTTGTGTTATCGGGTATTGTGTTGGCACAGGTGGGACTCCAGTAGGTAATGCTGGCAAGACTCCAGGTGCCAATGAAACAGCTGGTGGCACTATACTTGGCACTCCATAGGGAGGTTGAACTGGCTGCTGAGGAGGGGGAACAACAGGGTAACCAGACTGATAGCCATTGGATGGATAATATGGTGGTTGAGGAGGGACACTACTTATAGCAGAGGGTTGTGTATAGCCTGAGGGGGAAGAAAAAAAGTGTTTAATCAGCTGCAGCAGAAAGAGACATTTTCAGCTGAATATTAAACTTAAATAATCTAGTGAAGAAAAACACTGAGGCAAGAATGACTTTCCAAATTACCCCAACTTGAGGGAATATTAGTGCCCTGGCACAGTTAAATCTAGCCTCAGATATCAATAGTTTATACCTAAATATAACTAGTACTTTTTAAATATTAAAATAACACTTCAAGACATACACACCTGGCAAAGGTACAGCAGTATTAATCTGATTCACAAATCTAGAGTATTCAGCATGAACCTAAAAGAGAAGGGAAACAAATTAATATAGGATAATTTCAATTAACTTTGTAATTATAAGGGTCTGATTATACAATTCCTAAGACCAAAAACGACTAGGAATTTAAATGTTTACATTAAAATGTTCCGATCAGATTTAGACCTGTTTAATATAAACGTAGAAAGGCACATCTATAACGAGCTCTGGTGGCATAGCCCAAGGCATCTGACTGCCAGAAGGTTGGTGGTTCAAACCCAACAGCCACTCCGTGGAAGGAAGACAGGGCACTCTACTTCCGTAAAGATTTACTGCCTACCCAATGAGGGTCACTATGAGCCAGAACTGACTCAATGGCAACAAGTTTGGTTTTGGTTAAGGTCCATCTATAAATTATTAAACCAGGTTTTAGGACTCAAGAGCATGGACAATCATAAACCCTCCAAACTAGACTCAATTCTGGGGTACAAAAATCTTTCAGAGAGCCACCAAAATCCAGCAATTAGGAAATCCCTAAGTTGTTAGTATAGTTTTGGGAATTCATTAATATTTACCGGTGACTACCGTTAGAGGCTAAAAATATAATTAGGATGTGATTCTTGGATCTTTTACCCTCCAGTCCTTATTTGTAAGCATTCTATTAAGTCTGTAACTTCAAGTCGTTGTTAGGTGCTGTCAAGTCAGTTCTGACTCACAGCAACCCGATGTAGACTGAAACACAGCAGTCCTGTGCCATCTTCACAACTGTTGCCACACTTGAGCCCATCAGTGCAGCCGCTCTCAATCTATCTCATCGAAGGTCTTCCCCTTTCTCACTCCCCCTCTTCTTTACCAAGCATGATATCCTTTTCCAGGGACTGGCCCCTTCTGACAACTTCTGAGTGCCTTCTAACCTGAGAGGCTCATCTTCCAACAGTGTATCAGACATTGCTGCACTGTTTCCCTGCTATTCGTAACATTTTCAATGGCCATTCCCCCCTGCCAAGACATGGACCTGGTCACATCCTTCTTCCCAGTCCATCTTAGTCTGGAAGCTCTGCTGAAACCCATCCACCATAGGTGACCCAGCTGGTTATTTGAAATATCGGTGGTACAGCTTCCAGCATCACAGCAACATGTAAGCCACCACAGTACGACAAACCAACAGACTAGTGGTGGGTAACTTCAAGTTGTGGTAAAGAAAAAAATATAGGGAATGGCTATGAAGTTATCTGTATAAAGGTTGGCAAATCAAGTTATCTGGTCAGAAGCAAAGAAAATAGCCTTCCAAAGAGGTACCCTTAAATACCAAAGTTGAACATATTCAACCTTGAGACTGGAATTCCTTTAGATGCTATTAAAAATAGCCACACAGTTTAATTTTTGGCTATTTGTTTATAGAATAAAAAGGATGGATGATCAAATAAACAATTATACCAAAGGTACCGCTAAATGATTTTAGGCTGCTGTAGCTGAAGCTAATCTTAAAAAGAATCTGGAATGCCCACCACAAACAATGTATACAGAATTAAAAGTCATTTAAATAAATAACTGACAACACTGAGAATCTATGGTACCAAAGTACTGCAGATTTCAAAATTCCATACTGAAATCGCTCAACACAAAATGCATGCAATTGTAACCCTGGCTAGGTGAGGCTGACTTCCTTATATAGAATGTTAGTTACTAGGATGAGAAAAATAGCTAAGACACATGCCAAAATGACAGGAGCTCTTCTGAAAGAGATAAACATAACTCACTGTTTGCAAAAGATTCTCACAGAGTTTCTTGGCAGCAGCTAGGCCTTCTGGTTTGGGATGACTGCAAAGACATTCAAAGGGAAGAAAAATAAAGGACACAGAATTATGCCTTCATTTCATGCTATCTTATGTTTACTTCAATATATTCACTACGGCTCAAATATCTATTGCTGCTAGGTGCTGTTGAGTCCATTCTGACTCATCACAAAATGTCATAGTAGTCCTTCCAGAAATAACTAGGTATTACCACAAATTCATTACCACAAATATTTTATTGGTCTCTTTCTCTGAGTAATGGTACTTCTTGATATAAAGGATATTAAAAGATCAATAAAATTACTATAAAACATGTTTCAATTGTCAGGTTATTTTAGGCTCATCACTGTTTATTTTAGGATCAAACATATAAAATCCAAGGCCAGAATACTAAAATCATTCCTGTCAGAGGAGTGTTTAAGGGCTTTCAGAGACAATTTCACCTTCTAATTCAACACTTTTATTAACTAATGTGAGTTACTCATGTGTGTATTCCTTATATTTAACCTAAAGCCCTCATGTTACTACTAATTAAGCCCATTTTTCTCTTGGTCCATCTGAATCATTTCCACCTGCACCAATAATCAGCCAAAAAAGATTAAAATGTTCTCTGTCCCATCCATACCTGATGTAAATATACATAGGTTCAAAAGCTTCTCGGCCAGATGCTGGCTCTATGCAGCCTGAACCTTTGCCCCGTAGGAAGACTTTGGCACCTGTTTCAATCTGAATGTGTTGCAAATAGGAACAGCCTGGACCTTCCACCTTCTCCTTGACATTAAAAGTGGGCACAGCATGTTCTAGACCCACAAATAATTTATCTTGAACATAATGCATCTGTAAGAAGAACAGCTCAGATTCAATGAAAGATTATAAATCAATTCTAATCTTGTAGAAAATCACTATATAAAATACTTTAATTCCCAAGACACTTTTACTCACTTTCAGAATAAGGACTCCCATAAATTCTACCATGAGCACATAAAAAACAAACTCTATCAAGTAACTTAATTTAAATAAGAACTACATATCCCATGTCCTTACTCTGCTCAGCAAAAGATATTAAAAAGAAAACTCCCAAGATTCAATATTAAGCACTTCTATCTCCCTCCAACTGATAGTAACACATAAGTCAGTAAGAAACTATAGCAAGGACAGTATCCGGTAAAAATGGAGTAGAATGTTGGGCAGTACAGTCAGCCCGATGATATTCTCTAATAAGGCTGCTCTCTCCAACCCTTTTCTCTAGGAGGATTGTATCAGCAAAGTCTTGCTTCATCAGACTCAGCCTTCTTAGTCCTCCAAGTGCCATCAAGTTCACAAATACAAACTCAAACTACTAACTTGAAAATACACAATGTTTCTATCTTTTGATCCTATCCTCTTTCTGGAACATATCAGTATGAAGAGATGTGTGTCTCAGATGTTTATTACATCTTGGAAACATAAATGGTCCATTAACAGACTATCAATAGTAGATAACTTCCAGATTCAAATTTTAGGAAATGATACAGCTGTTAATGATTTCTTCACAAAACATACCCCTGACTGGAAAGGCGGCTTCTGGCTAATAGCTGGAGATAGCTGAGCGATGGGTGCTGGCTGGTGATAGACGGTGACTGTTGCACCATTAAAAGTTGGACTTGTCCCTGTGGCAGCTTTCACCACCCCATTGGTGATAATTTCTTTGATTCGGTTTACAGCTCCTAGGAAAGACACAGGTAGTAAAATACTATAAAGAACTGAATGAAGTAACTAGTGCCCAATTATAAATGATGGACAATGCACAATTACTCAGATATTAATCCACTATATGGGTTACACTCCAAGCCCCCATGCATACATTTGTGCGTAGTGCATAAACAAGAGTTAGAAGGGCAATCAGGGAGTTAGTTTGCCAGCTTATTACACTGAGCCTTGTACTTCACCCTCCACAAAAGTGATACATGAGCTATAAAAACATTACTTACTATCCACTAATTCCCGGGTCTGGCCCTGCACATGAAGATATAATGGACGATCCCTATAAACAGAAATATAAAATGATTATCACAAATTAGTCATACCCAAAAGAACTCTTAACTCTAATTTGTAATGTTTAAAATTTCCAAATAAGAGAGAGAGACTGTATTGGACTGTATAAAAGGACTATTGGTAGTTAATTTCTTAAGAACCTGGCTTTATAGCTGTGGAATAAATTTTTCTTGTTGTTTACAGTTAACTGGCCTAGACAGGGATCAAATCTGTTCTCATGGACTCATAAATTAGTATCCAATCAATTGAGATTAGTCTGTTAATGGACCAATTGAGATGGGAGCTCTGGTGGCGTAGTGCCTAAGGCACTTGACTACTAACCAGGAGGCTGGCGGTTCAAACCCACCAGCCACTCCTCGGAAGGAAGATGGGGCAATCTACTTCCGTAGTGATACTGCTTTGGAAACCCAAGGAGCGGTCCCTATGAGTCGGGTCCGACTTGACAGCACACAACAACAACATCAACAATCAATTGAGATAACCCAAAATTCAAGAACAAAATTCCTTTTCATTAGCTGCCTAATAAGTTATAGGCAGATGTGTTTTCGACTATCAAAATTAATGAGGCACTTTTTTTTCTTTCTAAAGAATCTACATCAAATTTATCATATTTGTTACATTTTCTCAAATTATCTACATGCTTCTTCAAATACACACTCATCTCATGATTCACAGATGGTCAAAGTGATTCACTTGAACCAATTCTTTGAGGTGGTTTTCAGGGGGAAAAAACCAAACTGAGGCCCACTGCTACTCAGCACTGTGAGGATGTTCTAGGAATGAATGAGGCACATTTTAAAAGGCCCATACTGAGAAAATTCTTCAGATTATAAAGGTAGCTTAGATTCGGATTTATAGTGATGAAGAAAGTGGTCAATAATCATATAAGTAACAGAAAGCCATAGATAAAAAATGACAATTTGTTTAAAGAAAGAGAAAATTCAGAACAGCAACTAGTACACATATAATACTTTTATATTTGGCTTTGAAATATATATATCCTTGATTTGGGGTTGGAACAAATTTCACCTTCTAATTATATTTCATTTAAGTCAACATTAACAATGTTGCATTACGTAAGTACTTGTCAACTTAACAGTAGAGAGAAGCTCAAACATTAAATAATGAAAGAAATGAAGCTGATATTAAACCTTTACATAGATAACGTACAACCCATAATCATCATAGATGCAATGAGAAGTTTGATAAAAGGGTATGCATTTTTTAAAAAAATACATAAAATATGAGCTCCTATGGGGGAAAATGCTTCCATAGGGGAGAAAATAGTTTAGAAATATAATAAATATGATTAGAAGTATATTTTATTTTAACAATTATCTTCTTTTACACTTTCCTGTATTTAAGTTTCCTCCAATAAAAACACTGTGAAATGAACCAAAAAGCCATGGGAAAAAAAAAATAGCTGCCAATATTCCTTCCATCCACTTGAGATGCTCAGAATTGTTTTTTCATTGCATACATATCAAACTATTAGTCATTTACATATATTCCCCAAGAATGAAAAACATGAAGATAATTGAGTCATATGCCCAATCCTTCCCCAAAGTAGAGGATAAGCATACACACCCTGGTCCCACTTTGGCCTTCTCCTCAGTTGTCATGAACCTCCCTCGAGTTGATACTGCAGCCCCACTAAGCCTGCTGATCTAAAAAGGGAAATATTCTATTAAAAAGACTGGTAATTGCTTGATTTCAATGGCAGATAGCAGGATAGCATTTTCCCATTCATTCCACTAATACGGTAGGAATGAGTTCTCTCCTATATTTGAAATTTCATTTCCACTATTTCTTACTCAAACCAACCCAGGGATTTCACCCATTTGTGTCATTAATTTCATTAATAAGTTCCTCCAAGGGGAGCTGTTGCATTGTGGTAAACTGTGGTCAATGACATGAGACAAAGTATATGTGAACTGCTGTATGGAAAGTGAATTTTCTCTGTAAATCTTCACCCAAATCACAATAAAAAAAATAATATTAAAAAAAAAAAAGTTCCTCCAAAGTTAAATTAAGCCCAACCCTCCCTTTAGAAATTATAACCCTAACCCACTAATAAATATCTGACTCCTGATTGTAGTTAACCTCTGGTGGTGCAGTGCTTAAAGCACTCAGCTGCTAACCAAAGGTCAGAATTGCTCTGTGGGAAAAGATGTGGCAGCTTCCATAAAGATTTATAGCCTTGGAAACCCTATAGGGGCAGTTCTACTCTACCCTACAAGGTAGCTATGAATTGGAATAGACTCAACTACAGTGGGTTTTGTTTTGTTTGTTTGTTTAGAGGTCCTATTTTTCTTCAATGGTATCTACCCACCACCTTCCCCAAACAAGAGGCCCAACTCCTCCACACCTCGTCTTGGGTCTGTCCTCGAGTCAGCAAGTTCCTACATGTGAGAGGCACATCATTGATTTCTACTTCAGCTACTACCAGGTCATCCTTGCTTTTATTGCTAGTCAGGCCTTTGCCAGGGGCCTGAAGCTATAAAAAGAGAAAGAAATTAAATAAGAAGTTTGTATGATGGAATAAAATCTTTTAGTTGCCCAATTTACAACCATCCCTTTCCCAATCCCACCACCTCCCTACCTTTTCCTACCTGCAAACACTTGGAAATACTCTTTGGTCACTCTTTGTAAATGAAATAAACAAAGCCTCACTAAAATGACAAGAAGTCAATTTACTTGAAGGCCATCATCAGACTTCTCTGTAACACCTGTTCTTGTTACATGCCATTGAGTCATCTCCGACTCACAGTGACCTTATGTACAAGAGAATGAAAACACCACCCAGTCCTGTGCCAGCCTCATGATCCCCACTATACCTGAGCCCATTGCGGTAGCCACCATGTCAATCCATCTTGTTAAGGGCCTTCCCCTCTTTCACTGACCCTCCAAGCCTCCACTTTACCCAGCATGACATCCTTCTCCAGAGAATGGTCCCTTCTAACAACATGACCAAAGTAGGTGAGATGAAGTCCAGCCATTCTTGCTTCCAAGGAGCATCCTGGCTGCACTTCTTCCAGGACAGATTTGTTAGTTCTTTTAGCAGTCCACGGCACTTTCAGCATTCTTTGTCAACACCACAGCTCAAAAGCATTGACTCTTCTTCAGTCTTCCTTATACACTGTCCAGCTCTCACATGCATATGAGGCGATTGAAAATACCATGGCTTGGGTTAGGTTTATCCTCAAGGAGACATCTTTGCTCTTCAGCACTTGAAAGAGGTCTTTTGCAGCAGATTTGTCCAAAGCAGTATGTCTTTTGATGTCTTTACTGCTGTAACACTGTAACACTGGCCATGTGTATATTTCTATGGCCCTATAATTACAGAAACTCTATGGAGAAGCAGCTGCAACTTCCAAAAGGAATAATATAAAGCCAAATTATGATACTGTAGAGCTCAATTAACTGGCTGTACATGTAGTAAAACATGGGGTAGAGTCCAACACATAACAATCCATACAATCTGTTCATGTAATTAATAGTTGTTGCCATTGTGCCAAACATACAGTCATAGCACATCAAATACAACTAATCTGATCCTCACAAGTATCTCAGGAACCATTAAACTGTACATAATTAATCCTTCCTTGACCCTTTATTATGGAAGAACAAAGAGAAAGGATAAAAAGCCAAGGAAGATCCTAAACATGATCTCATTTCTTTCCATTTAAACTACAGGCAACTCCAGATAGCTGAATGTTAAGCATTATGTGAAAGAATTTTAATCATGAGATGGCCTTCCCCTATCTTGGATATTCTCCATCAATGTCTAGCAAAACTGCTCAAGGAAAGTAAAATAGTCTACTTCTCTGTGCATTGGACACATTTAAAATAACATGGAGGCAAAAGTGAATAGACTCAAAATACGACCCTACCTTTGTCTAACACCTTGCAGTTATCTCAATGAATCCTTATGACTACCTTTAAAGGTACACAGCAGTGCTATTCAACAGAACACTCTGTGATGATGTAAATGCTGTTTATCTGGTTACCACTAGTCACATGGGAGCTCTGGTAGCATAGTGGCTAAAGCACTTGACTGCTAACCAGAAGGCTGACGGTTCAAACCCACCAGCCACTCCTCGGAAGGAAGGTTGGGCAATCCTACTTCCGTAGTGATACTGCCTCGGAAACCCAAGGAGGGGTCGCTATAAGTCGGGGCCGACTCGACGGCACATAACAACAACAACAACAACAGTCACATGTGGCTATTGAGCACCTAAACTATACTGTTCATGTGACCGAGGAACTGACTATTAAATTTTACTTAATTTCAACAGCCACAGGTAGCTAATAGCTACTGTATTAGACAGTGCAGGCATTATGTTACTAACCCCATTACAAGAAAATGAGGCTCAGTGATGTTAAAACCACACAAGCAGTAATTAGGGGTTCTGGGTTTCAAATCCCAGTCTCTGATTCTAAATCCAGTGTTTATGCACCATGCTGTCTCCTGCTGACTTTAACCACCATTTTAAAAAATTATTTAGACAAGAAAAAATATGATCTAAATCAGTATTAAGAATCTTAACATTCAAAGAGCAGTTCATATTTGTCAGAGGGCTTTTAATTGTCCTTGTAGACATTAGAAATGGACAATCTGACTCACATAAAAAATACACTGATTAACTTCCAATCCACTAACATGAATATTTAAGCATCCAGACAGGTTATGGCATACTGATGAGCAGTCTGTAGAACTAACTGGAAGGCTCAACAAAGGAGTGCATTTTCAAATACAGAACTCACCTCTTCATGTTATATGGAAGGCAAATTTTAATTTAAGCTAAAAAATATTTTTTCAAATGATAATTGTAATGGAATGGGCTGACTTGAAACACACTGAATTTTCCAACGCTAGAGGCTTTCAAGCAAGTTAGATACCCAATTGTCAGAGGTGATTTTGAAGTCAGACACCTGCATTTACCAATTATAGATCTCAGAGTAGATACTTTATAGCATTCTTGAGCCTATTTTTCCACATCTATAAACTATAACAATATTCTATAATTCTTGTAAAGTTTTTTTTTTTTTTTAAGTGCAAAGCATGCATTCTTAACAAAACAAACACCTACTATAATTATTACCCTGCAGAAGTATTCGTGCATTCTATAGCAAGGTAAACTAAAGCCTTCTAGCTCTAAAATCCTAATTTATACCAGAGATTTTAGAAAATGATCAAACTGTTTCCTCAACTTGTGTAAAAACAAAACAACTTATATATAAACTATTCATCCATTTGGTTAATGTTTAATTGTACTTGAGTTAAATAAGAAAAAGGTCAGCGAAAGAGAGGAAGATCCTTAACAAGATGGACTGACACAGTGGCTACAACAATAGGCTCAAACATAGCAATGACTGTGAGGCGGGTGCAGAACCAGGCAATGTTTCATTCTGCTGTACATGAGGTTGCTGTGAGTCAGAGTCAACCCAATAGCACCTAACAACAACAGCTGTCATTAAGTAAACACCTATTGACGACAGTGAGTTTGGTTTTTTTGGTTTTATACTTCTAATTAGAAAGAGATTATTTTAGAGCTTTACCTGAACTTCTCTTTAGAATTCAGAGAAAATACTCACCTACCCAAAACATATTGCATCTTTTGAATGAATATATAGACAGAACTTAAACTGAACTAACCAAATGGACAAAAAAGCTATTTGGTCCATAATGGTAATCAGGGCCCTCAAAACTGTCTCAGAAAAACAAATACGAGAAAATGTCATCTGGTAAATTCCAAAACTAAATGGTCTTTAAGTTACTGTACCACTGTTTTTCTTTTCCATTAACCCAAATGATTGTGAGATTACATGATTACAAATAACCCCCATTAGTCCCTTCCGCTTTAAATACCTTCTCAGCAGCATTCTGAGTTGGTTTCAGCTTCCCTTTGGCCATGAGCATGGCATTGATCTTGGCAGCCACAGCAGCAGCAGCATCCAAGGCTCCAGAAGGAGCAGCTGTGGAGCCCCCTGGGCTTCCCCCACTGCTGGTGACCTCCCCACCTGGGGCTGCTGGTGGGAGGAAGAGAAGGGGCGCTGGAGCTGGTTGGTCCCATTTGCTGCGGCGCCTACAGAAATAAGACAAGTATTAGGTTTTCATTTATTTTATTCTCCCCTAACTGCGATGTTAGTACCCCATTTTCCTTCCATCCTGTTCTGTTTACCACTCTACCCTTCTTCCAGGTCTAAAATGTCATCTTTCCTGAAATAACAATTGTTGCTGTATTTTCCAAAATCCTCAATTCTTTCAACCTTTTCCCAGCATTCCTTTCTACTCCGTCATCTCCATGGAAAGAACTCCACTCTGTCCCACATGCCCTCGTTTTCTCTTTCAGCGTGGTTCGCCCCTCCAAAAATCCTTGCTGCCGTCCTCCCTCTACTAGCCGCCAACCCTTTTCAGGGGGCCCAGGCCTGTTCACCATCATCCCCCCAAGACTCCGGCCCTCCAATCGGTACACTTCTCGCTTAAACACCCCTTCACACCGACACACCTTCCCATGGTCCCGCCGCCTCTCCCGTGACCCCACGCTCACTCCAATGCCCTCGCCCAAAAAGCCTCACCCGCCAGCTCCAGGATGCGTCGCGCTCCCCGCGGACATGGCGACCGGCTCTGCACAACCACCCGCCAACTACCCCACTACCACCTTCCCGTCACTTCCGCCCCCAACGCCCTTACGCAAGTCTCTTCCGGTCTTGTGGCGGTTCCGGTGGCAATCGCGATTCTGATTGGACTCTCGGTTATTTAAAAGCTTCTGGCGTTGTCTGCCACAGGTAGGATGTGCTTCCTGCCTTCGCGTAACCCTTGAGAAAGATGGTTGCCATGTCTCATTTAAAGGCGGAATTGGGGAGAGGAGAATCCATATTGATTGTGGGCAAGTTGGTAGACAAGGAGACAATACGCATGAGTCAGGGGATTAAACAGGTTTCTCTACCAGATAAAACTGTGTTTATGTGGCGTTCTAGCTTCTGGCCGAGCAAAGAGCTTTCCTTAGATTTTTACCCACTCGACGCTTCAGTTACTTATTTAGGGAAAGGGAAATGATAGGTTTGAAAAGTTATTTGAAGAATTTCTCTGGCTTTTTAGTTTCTATGGGCCAAACCCTGCTTTAAGACCAGGGGATATAATGATGAGTAAGTCGTGAGTCCTTTCTGGTACTCACAATGTGGCGAGGTAGGACGGGGGCAAGTCTATATACTGACAGGGTTGGTGTCATAGTGATTGAAGCGCTCAGCTCTGCCAGCCGCCCCACGGGACAAAGATGTGGCAGTCTGCTTCCGTAAAGATTTACAGCCTTGGAAACCTTATGGAATATTTCTACTCTTGTCTTACAGAGTTGCTATGAGTCAGAATCAACTTGATGGCAACGGGAATTTTTAAAATTCATTTAATAAAAAACGAGTAGAAGTTAAAATATTCAACTCAATGGGGTGTCTAAGCAGGAATTTGAAGGACACAGAAACTAAACCAGCCGGGTGAGGGCTGGAGAGGTGGCGATCCAGCGTGCGTTATGAAACATTTGTTGTGGCATCTACTTACCTGCCTTTGAGCTAGCTGGAGGAGCAGGACAGATTGTGAAAGGCCTTGAATACTATGCTAAGGAGCTTGAGTGGATTTTGGAGGTCAGAGGTTTCCACCAAATGAGGTGCCTTAAAGGTGCAAGGAATGTCTAGATAGAATAAATAAAATGCTATTTTAAAATAACTAGATTTTGATATAATTAATAAAAGAGAAATTCTTTTGAAAGCCATTTTTTCCAATCAGCATTTAGCAAGAAATTGCTCCATACAGATTTGAAACACCACCTTTCTCATATGTTAAATGGCATGTACATATATATTATTTCTGCATTCTTTTCTATTCCATTAATCTATTTGTTCCTTTGCTATGCTGTTTTGATTACAATAACCCTATGCATATTGCAATGTCTGTTAGGGCAATGGATTACCAGTGACCTCTTTACTACTGGAGGCAGAGTCATCAGTGTCTTTAAGACTAGTCAGATTTAAGAACCAATTCAGAAAACTCATCCTTATGATTTTGTTCCTCTAGGACCCTCTGGAGCTCTGGTGATGGAGTGGTTAAAGCATTTGGCTGCTAACCAAAAGGTTGGCAGTTCAAACCCACTAGTCACTATGTGGGGAGCTCTGGTAGCATAGTGGCTAAGACATTTGCCTGCTAACCAGACGGCTGGCGGTTCAAACCCACCAGCCACTCCTCGGAAGGAAGGTTGGGCAATCCTACTTCCGTAGTGATACTGCCTCGGAAGCCCAAGGAGGGGTCGCTATGAGTCGGGTTTGACTCGACGGCACATAACAACAACAACAACAAAAGTCACTATGTGGGAGAAAGATGAGGCAGTCTGCTTCCATAATGATTTACAACCTTGGAAATCCTATGGGGCAGTTCTACTCTGTCCTAAAGGGTCCCTATGAGTTGGAATTGGCTTGATGGCTGTGGCTTTGGTTTTGGTTTAGAACTACTCTCAGTACCACATGTCTTAGGCTGGGTTCTCTAGAAGTACAAAACCGGTGAAGTGTATATGTATATATTTGTGCATGTGTATTGTTGCTATTGGGTGCCATCAAGTTGGCTCTGACTCATAGTGACACTATGTACAACAGAACAAAACACTGCACAGTCATGTGCCATCCTCACAATCTTTGCTATACTTGAGCCCATCATTACAGCCACTGTGTCAATCCATCTTGTTGAGTTGAGGGTCTTCTCCTTTTTCACTGACTTTCCACTCTACCAAGCATGATATCCTTCTCCAGCAAGTGGTCCTTTCTGACAACCTGACCAAAATAGGTGAGACAAAATCTGGCCATTCTCACTTTCAAGGAGCATTCTGGCTGCACTTTGTCCAGGACAGATTTGTTCATTCATCTAGCAGTCCATGGCACTTTGAGTATTCTTCGCCAACACCATAATTCAAAGACATCAACTCTTCTTTGGTCTTCCTTGTTCACTCCAGTTTTCACATGCATGTATATATACACCATTGCCATCAAATTGATTCCAACTCATAGTAAACTCTATTGGATTTCCGAGGCAGTAAATTTTTATGGAAGTAGATTGCCCCATATGGTGGTTAAGTTTGTGTGTCAACTTGGCTGGGCCTGATTGAATGGCTGGGAAGCTGGATGTAGTTATTTTCATGGTAAGATTGGTAGTTAAGTCCATGGTGGAATGTATTGGAGCAGCTGAGTAGCTGGTTTAGGGATGTGGTCTGCTTCCTGTATATAAGAAGCAGCTTTGGGAATGGTCTCTAGCTTATGGCACACTTGAACCCTGAGTGTAGCCATGTCATTGTTCAGCAGCCTGCCATGCTCTTCTGACCTTGGGACTTCCAGTGGACTTGAATTAATGGCCTGTTGTGTGGTTTGGTAACATCGAGACTGTGTCTTTTTACTTGTCAACCTTGGGCTTGTCAGTCTCAGCAGTCAGCAGCTGAGTGAAGAAAAGCCTCTAGCTTCAGTGGGCCAGGAGCAGGAGGCAGAGTTGAATCCCAAGGTTGAGGGGCTTTCACCCAGCCTCTAGAGCTTGGAACTTGGACTTAAATCCTCCAAACTATAAAAGAATAAACTCCTGTTTGTTCAAGCCATCCTATTTGTGGTATATTCTTGTCGAAATGGCACCAGGTAACTGAAACAGAATATGGTACCAAGAGTGTAGGGCGCTGCTCTGACAGATACCTAAAATGTGGAAACAGGAATGGAGTGCATACTTGACCTGAGACAGTGGCAGAGAGACCCCAGCATGTGGCATGAAAGATGGCAGCAGCAGAACCAAGAAACTGGCAGAGAGATACTGGCAGAGAGACCAGCATTAGAGACCAGCATGAGAGATGGCAATAGCAGAGCTCAGAGACTGGCATTAAACAGCAACAAGCTTAGCAGCTCTTGGAGGAGAAAGCCGGGTGCCATTGGGTAGGTGGCTTCCTGGTGGAGTGAGTTGCCTTCGGGCATTAACTGGTAGAAGAAACTGGCATGAGATGGAGTAGCAAGCAGGTTGACTAGCCCATGGAGCAAGAAAGCTAAGTGTCCTTTGGGTGAGGAAGATTTCCGGTGGAGTGGGTTGCCCTCAGGCATTAATCGGCAGAAGCGGAGAGACCAACAGGAAGCAGAACTGCCTCAGCCTGAAAGGGTAGGACTATGGCCTTTGGGGGTGGAACAACCACAGCCCTCTAGGTTTCAGAGCCAGACCTTGGTTCTGGAATGTGGGGCTGCTCATTCATGTGCCACCTCACTGAGAATCATGGCCTAGCCAAGTTGACACATAACCTTAACTATCACAAACAGAAATACCCATCAATTGATGAATGGATAAACACAAACTGTACATACATGCAATGGAATATTATTCAGCTACTTAATATCAGAATATCACCACCAATATGACTATGAGATCAGAAGAACTAGATGGTGCCCAGCTACCACTGTCAACCCCTTGGAGGGGGATCTATGTAGGAGATCCTGGAGAGAGTGAGAGAACAATGTGGAATAAAATTCAAAATAAAAAAAAAAAAAAGGGTGGGGAAACAGGTCTGACAGAGCCTGGTGAAACCCAAGAGACTATGGCCCCTAGCTGCCCTTCAGGTCTAGAATTGAACCCACTCCTGTGGCTTCCAGCCAAACAAAAGACAGTTATATGAGCTTAACATTTACATTAGGTAGGTACACTCCTTGGAAAGATCAGTCATGGGAGAATAGAAGGGCTTTATATACACAGGGAGACAGCTCTGGGGTCAGGAGTACATGGGAGGGAAGGACAGAGGGAAGAGATAACTATGGGGAGGAAGTGGGAAGAGAGCTGTTGCATTGTAGGAAATTTCAATCAATGTTGTGAGACAAAGTGTACGTGAACTGCTGCATGGAAAATGAATTTGCTCTATAAACTTTCATCCAAATCACAATAAAAATTTAGAAAAATACTTCACTACCAATAGATCAAATATTTGTGAGAGATAAGGCTCTGGGTGATTGCATATTTGCTACTTTTCTACAATTTTGTCAGAATGAGAAGTGTAAGGAAACTGGTTGCTTGCTCCTATTTTCCCAGACAAAGTGTTAAAAGAAAGGAATGAACTCAAAGCTTCAGAGTCACAGCTCAGAACCGAATAGAAGACCTGAAAGTTGCCACTGTGCCCTGAAAGAAAGCCTTTTATTTCTTGTAGCAGCAGAGTTGATATTGCTGAAAACCAAACTCAGAGGCTTATAGGAGTGGTTAACTCCAACACCAATTGAGTTCCCAACCTTGAATGTTGTCTGAAGTTAAAGTGAGGACATTGATTGGGAAGAAATGGGATCCTGGAACTTAGGATGGGGCCATATGGGCAGATAATCAGGAAACTGGGGACATTGAGCCCCTAACTTCCATGGAATCACTCCTGCCAACAGAACCAGCCCTTTTACTCCCATCTGAAAAGATCATGCCATCTTTGTCTGCTAAACCACCCTCTCCAGTAAAACCATTATCCCTTCCACACCTATCTGATGAGATTAACCTAGCTGTGCCTACAAAGTCTTTGTCTAAGATATTGCCTAGAGTGGCACATGAGGCATTGCCTGGGGCATCAATTGAGGCATTGCCTGGAGCATCAACAGGCAAATGCCT